GGAGCCTCCGCAGGGCGCAGGAATGGCTCCTCGGAAGGGAAAGGCAGCGCAGCGCGTGCGGAGTGGGGCTGCGCTCGCAGCGCTGCCGTGGTAAACGGGATGCCGGGTTCAGAAATACCCCCGCGCAACCCTGCGCTGGAGCAGCCCGCGGGGCAGCCCGCGGGACACCGCGTCCCGTGTGCAGGGCCGCAGGGGCGAATGCTCCGCGTAACACGGTGCCCATTTAGCATCGCGTGTGCGCAACACGATCTATGGAGGCTCACGGATAGTGGTGCTGCCTTTCCTAACATTGCTTTTTTTCCACCTAACCACGCTTCCAGAGTATTCAAATTTTTAAAGTTGGCTGCATCATCTCTGAAGCAGTTACTTTCGAAAGAATTTAGTGCCTTCTCTAGCAATGGATTTCAATGGGATTTCTCAAATATCTGTCTCTTTTTGAGGCTTTTCTTCCCACCTCTTTAAAGCAGCTGTCTCTCAAGTGAAGTTCAGAACTGTAGCAGACAACAGCAACACCTTGAAGATTTTGGGGGGAAAAAAAAGGCAAGAAAATAACACTTGTAACTACAAGAGGAATTGCAATAGATGTAAAGCACTTAGTAAACCTGGACGCAGGCAAGGCACCAGCCCTAAGAGAGGTTGCTTTGGTTTCTAACCACCCCGAAGACCACAAGTTCTGCTTTAGATGCTATCCAAGAGGTAGTTCTCCAACAACAACATCCTGACACTGAGAGGTGCAGCCTCATTTCTGCCTCAGGAGGAAGCAATTAAACGACTCTGGTCTCTAGTGCTGGGTTTTTCTCTAATAGTGTCACATGCAGTTATCCTCTTTAACTTTGGAGATTGAGCAAGATCATAACCAGAGGTGGAACAGCAATATGCCACCTTTCATTTTCGATTCCAGTTGTCTCTTGTAAAAATAAGCAAGCCAACAAGCAAACAAACACAAAAGGAACTGCTCTTCTCTTCATCATTGTAGAAAGACTTACCAGCAAAGTATCCACCTTCCTACATTTGTTTGTAAACAAGCATTTTATTTTTCTCCTTGTGAACACAAATTCTTACCATTTTGGATTGTGCTAATTGGCTAATTCCTTTTTTTTCCCCGAGGCGTGAGTCAACCAAGAGTTGCTTGATGCACCCTCGCATGGACGCAACCTCTTAGGATGGGATGCAGTGCACGCTCATCGCTCTCGTGCAGAAACCACCCACCACTGAGGCACCTGCACACATTTCTCTTGCTCTTCTTTTGCTTTACTTCCCTAACTAGCTAAGGATTTATATACTATGTCACTTAAATAGTTAGCATCCCCATAGCTTGCTTTATGCCAGCTCACACACATACACAGCTACATACACAAGCTGTCCCCTCCACCTACAAATCTTTTCTCTTTTCCTTATTCCTCTTTCTCTCTACCAAGCTCCCACTGTGGGACACAATTTGAGCCAATTACCAAAAAACAAATACAGAAGAAAAATAGATCAAGAAACAAGAATATTAGCTGGCATTGAATTCTTTAGCATAAACAAAATTGCACTATGAGTTTTCCTTATTCAGCATTGCTGGTGCAAATACTTTTCTATACAGAGAAGAGGAAAGAAACACGGCAGCGTGAGGCTGGAGATACCTGCTAACGAAGGACAGTCAGGTGACACAGGAGACAGCATCTTGCTTTCTCTTAAAACATTTGGGCTGTCAAAGTACACTAAGAAAATGTAGTCCAGGAAAACAGGTCTCGTAAAAGAAAGGCTGTGTTTGAAGTAAAGGAGCTTGTAAGATTTTTCTTAATACTGTGATTGCCTAAATTCGCATTTAATAATAGATCTCTCAGCAGAGCACCCGAGGTGTTACCCTCCTCAGAAAAGGAGAAAACACAGTTTCTCTAAAGTACATTGGCTTTCTGTTTGCCCTTGAGGTGGTGAAGAGAGGGTTTCATTGGTGATCCAGAGCAGGCCGCTCTGAGCCGTTTGATGGGGTAAGTTCTGGGCCAGCCCCCCACAGCCAGAGGGAATCAGAGACTCTTTTTGAATGTCCGGCAACCATCTGTTGGTCTGAAAAACCTTTAGGCCTTCTGAAGGGCAACATATTTTGCTTTCTTCAAACTGATTTAGATGACTACACACGCAGCCCAAAGATGGGGTTACAGGTGAGCAAAAGATGGTAAAGGATTTATTTTTTTTCAATATAAAAACAATTAGAAAGTTTATTGTCCCTTTCCGATGGGGTAGCCGGTGGCTTTAAAAGAAAAGTGTAATGATGGGGTCTCAGACTGAATTCCTCCGTAATCAGACACTTTCCTTAACAGACAGCTACCGACCAGACAAATGATTCAACGTATGCTCGGCCTCAGGCCAGCTCTGATAGTCTTGCTGCTGCTCCTCAGAGGAAAGCCAGGAGGGGCAGCACGGCCTGTGACTGCTCTGCACGCAACAGTGATGAGGGCCGTGTGAGGCACCAAGACCAAAATTTCTGGAAAATGGCTATTTAGAGTCACCAAATGTCAAAGACGACTTGCAGAGGGCGTAATTCAAACAGGCAGCCGCGCGGCCTGCGCATCGGGGAGGCCTTCGCTCCGCACGCAGCGTGGTTTGCCCTCCCCGCCACGCGGCTGCAGAGCGTGCGCCGGGCACGGCGGCTCTTCAGCACCCCGTTATCGGAAACAAAAAAAGCCAGTCAGCTGTGGAGGAGAAGGTTCCCTTCATTCATAAAGGAAGAGCTACCGTAGTGCTCGTTTTTAAAGATGGGGCTAGGAAGTACTAGGATGAGAATGGACAGTTCTCATATACAGTAACTGTTCTGCACTCAACTATTTTTATAGTTCATAAGATTATTAGAAATGCTCTTTTAAGCAGTCTCACTACTTTTTACACGGTCATTGGGCCTATTACATAAGTTACCTAGCTCTATAATCTGTTCTGTAGATTATATTCACACTTCCTCGGCAGCTATGTCCTTCACTATCAAGTAAGAAGGTAAATTATTCAAAAAGAAAAGAAATGTTATTTATCCCCCAAAACAGTATTTCAGCTCACAATACAAACGTGATTCCTTTTAGGGCCAGCTCAGAGAAGAAGTGCCAGAGCTCTTTCTTTGTTACTTTCCTTAAAGTGCGTTTTTTTCCACAGATTTAAGTTTTTGCACCTCCACCAACTAACAGAGGAAGCTTCCCATAAGAATCAGCACCTTGTTGCACAGAAAAATATGGGATTTTTTTGTCACTGACTTAAATAAATGGGATCTAAACACTGCAATTTGTGTGTGTGATGAATTTGGCCTTTCCTTTTTTCAAAGCATTTAAATAATTGTTTTCTGTCTTGTGTTCATTTCCTTTAAAATAGAGAGTCCAAACCCGAATACAATAGTTTGATTAGTCCTGAGACATTAAAATAATCATTATGCATGAATAACATAATACTTTTAACACCCTTTGTTGATCCATATAGAGTATATTGAAACGCTGTTTTTCTTTTCTAATGTTCCATGAATAAAATGGATTTATCTTAAATAATCATGACAGCAAACTCTCATATATCAGGGCTGGTCTGTTTATAACTGTTCTCAAACCTATTTGTGGTTTCTCTGAACTTTGTATCACCTAAAGATATAAATACCGTCCTCTCCATTTTACCTTTCCAGATGTTATTGAGAAAAAAATGCCACCAAAATAACCCTTTTCACATCTATTAACAAATATGGATTTCTAAAACATGCTCTTTATTTGACATACGTCGTTTCAGCTTTGTATTTTAATTGGAATGAAAGTAATTGATAGTCCTGTCCAAAGCCATTGAAAGTGTGGTCAAGAGACTGCAGACCTTTCAGACCTACCAGTTAGCTCTAACACAGGGGACTGTCTGCAGAAAAAAAGAGACCTGGGATGGCAGGAAAAAGTAGGGCTGATGACCAGGATTTCTAGGTGCTTTCATTTCTTAAAATCCATAACAATGATAAATGCAAACAAAACTTATATGAATTATAAAATCAGAAGCCTAGTTTTGCAAAGAAGTCATCTTTCACACCGACGTTAGCAGGAGTTGTTGCTTGGCTTTGAGATTTCAATCATTAGCTTTAAGTCATTAGCTTGTATATTTAAATGTCAACACACAATTCCGAAAAGATTGAAGGAAAATGATGGGATTTATCAGGATATTTGTGTAGTCTCCTAACGGATATTATGACCCATTTGGGGGAAACAACAGAAACTGTTAGAGAGAAACTGTAAGGAGAAGAGAGGAAGGATGAAGTCACTGACAGCTGGATAGGAACATGGTTAATAATTAGAATCAGCTGGCATTAGACATAGGAGAGAAATAAGTAGATGAAAATGAGAGCCGTAAAGTAGGTTTTGATTTTCTGGAATACAAAAGGCTTTAGAAGATAAGCTGAATATCTGAAAATGTGATTTTATTTAAATTTCCCTAGCTCAGGTTAGGTTTCAGCCAT